CTTGGGAGCATGTTCCACTCATTGGCAGTTCTTATATAAAAAGAGTTTTTGAAATAATCTGTTTTTGCAAATGGTACGTACATTTTCATATTATGATCATTACGCCCAATTCTGTGAGCACGTATAATTTTTTCAATCGGACCAACATTTACCATATTATTTATTATTTTATAAAACATGACTAATCTGTGGTACTTGCGTCTTTCTTCTAATTTTGCAAAACTTGATTTTTCTAATAGTTCATGGTAACTTGTTTCCCAGTCTCTAAACATCATTCTTAAATATCGTTTTTGGACACGTTCAATAATATTTATATGTGAAACTCTATAGGGGTCCCATGCAATACAACAATATTCTAGACATGGACGTATAAGAGAGTCATATAAGGTTTTAAACACAGAACGTGGGCAATTAAAGAAAATTTCTTTTGATTATAGCTACAATCTTACTACACTTTGCGTATGTTTCGTTACAATGAGAATTAAAATTAAGGGTATCATTTATAGTAATGCCCAAATACTTTTCTGACTTAGTGTTAATTAATTTATGTCCACCCAATTTATATTCATACTGTGGTTTAGAGGACTTTCTTGACATTTGCATTATCTTACATTTGTTTACATTGAAATCAAGTAGCCATGAATTTGCCCACTTATCTAGATTTTCTAAATCCTTTTGTAAAAGTTTGCAATCTTCAATAGAGTGGATAGGCCTATATAAAATACAATCATCTGCGTAAAGTCTTATAGTTGAATCAATATTATAGGAAATGTCGTTTATGAAACATAAAAATATGATTGGACCTAAAATTGTCCCTTGTGGTACACCTGATTTTACGTCTACCCAATTAGAGTATTCACCATTGAGGACGACTCGTTGTGAACGATTTTTCAAAAAATTCATGATCCATTTTAAATTTGGATTTTGAATACCATACATTTTTAACTTTCGTTCTAATAAATTGTGCGACACGCTATCGAACGCTTTAGCGAAGTCTAAATATGCTATGTCAACACTATAGCCGGAGTTCATCCAACTACTCCAGTCGTGAATAGCTTCAATCAATTGAGTCTCGCATGACCGCTTTTCGCGAAAACCATGCTGGTTATCACATAAGACATTGTGTAGATTAAAATGATCAACAAGATGTTTACAAACAAGTTTTTCGAGTAGTTTACAAGTAATTGAAGTAAGTGATATTGGGCGATAATTACCCGGGTCTTCTTTGTTACCTTTCTTAAGAAGGGGAGACACGTTTGCTCTTCGCCAGTCAATTGGTAACTCTCCTTTAGAAAGTGACATATTGAACAATTGACAAAGCGAGGGTGCAAGCTGCTCCGCCCCTTCTTTCAATACACGGGGAGATAATCCATCAGGACCTTGAGCCTTATTAACGTCAATGCTTTTGAGCAACTTACATACGCCAGCGACACAACAATGAATATCACTCATGGCAGGAACATCATTTCTTTCTTCACATGGTGGAAAAGGACCATCATTAGTGTCTTTAAATACAGACTCAAATTGTTTGTTTAGAGTATCTACTTTTTCTTTATCGTCAGTAAAAGTAATTCCATTTTCCATTTTTCGATTTGTTTAGACCATTCAATTGTTCATCTATCAAAAGGCCTAAGCATTTGGTGAAATTAACTCTTTTGATCAAATTGCCATTTAATGAAATGGTGAAAGAATGAATTTTCCCAGAGATTATCACGAGAGCCTATTATCATGACACAATTTTTGTCAGTGTTAAGGACTAGACGATTTTCTTTAATCCACGCCATGACTCTATCTAATGCAACAATTATTTTCTCTCCCCCAACAGTTGCATCATTTGCACTGACGGTAAGTGTCGTATCGTCAGCATATATGTCTATGATACCTTCAGGAGTACACCCAGGTAGACTGTTATTAAACATAAATTTAAAATAAAAGGAGACCAAGAATTGAACCTTGTGGCACACCTAATTTGATGGTTGATAGATGCGAATTGGCTCCTTTGAATTGGGTCACTTGTTGTCGATCACCTAAATGTGATTTGAACCAATAAATAGTCCTATTACTACAACGTATACAAGCTAGTTTATGTAAAAGTAGCTCATGGTCAACATTATCAAAAGCCTTCCGAAGATCTATGAAGGCAACTCCAGAAATTTCTTTGTTATTAATATTCAACGACCATTGATTTACAAGTTTTGCAAGGGCAGTAGCTGTTGAATGTTTAGGTCTAAAACCAGACTGATTAGGGTGTAATAATTGATTCCCGTCCAATAATTCACTGAGTTGTTGATGCAGTTGCTTTTGTTCTGTTTATGCTACTCTAATAACTTTTTTTATTGTCGATGTTTTAAATGTACATCTTGAAGTTTGTTTGTTTGATTGATTTTATTTCTGCTTTCAAAAATATACAAATTCAAAGTCAAAGTACAAAATTTCGAACAATAACAAATACAATGAATACAATGTTTACAAAAGTAATTAAATGAAAAATCATGTACAATTATATCATTCGATAAACATGTACGAAGCATACAATAACATAAGAAATATGAAATATTTTCAATAAATTAAAGAGGTAATTTGGAACGCAGGAGACCACCATCGTGAGCGGTTAGATGGAGATGGATGGCGGCCTCGTAAAAAGAATTGGCGACATAACTCTCTTCGAAAAACTGAGTGACCAAGAGGATGCGGTGCAAGTGCAGGTGCAGTGAGCAGTTGCATGATAAAGAATAAATAAGTCACGGTTTTGTTATACTAATTTAAAGAGAGGGGAGCATACGATTGTATTATTTGTCGTTTAAGTGTAGCTTTTAAGGAGTAGATGGTTGAACAAGACTTTATGTTGTCGGGTAAATCATTCCAAATGTCCGGGCCAGAATGTCTAACAGATTTGTGTGTTATTGATAATTTGTGTGACATGGTAATTGTAAACGTTCGCAATTCGGCCTTGCGGCTGCGAGGAAAGTATTACAATAAATTATTTTTAATGAATGAATGATATAAATGAAGAGAGAGGGAGATAGAGAAGAGAGTGAGAGAGAGATGAAGAGAGATATAAGTGAGGGAGAAAAAAGGTAGTATAGAGTAAAGACCACCGCACACTACCCCCGCGTCCTCCAGTCCGATTTTCTAAGAAACTACAATTTTGTTGCATATAAGAGCAGATAAAAGGGGTACTTATTGAAAGGTAAAAAAAAGGTACTTTATTAGAAATGGAAGGGGTTCTTATTGAACAGATTGAAGATGCACTTATCAGTAGGAAAATCAGTAGGAATCTTTTTTAAAGAACATAATGATAATAATAATAAGAAGATAATAATACAAATATGTCAATTTATAAACTACCCCGGCTGTATAATACGTAGCTGCATGAGCACCCATGATAAGGCGCTTAAACATTTTGTAGTGACCAAAATGTCACGATTTTAAAAACTTTTGCTGAAACTGTATCTTACTTTTGCAATGTGTAATAACGTTTTAAAAGTGTTGCATTGATTGGTACATGTTTAATAGGCATTGCTTTCCCATTTTTCAAAATGGCGACTAGGGAGACCTAATTTCACTTGCGTGGTTTTTTCCACTTATTCTGTATTGCTTTACAGACATGTTCCAACCGGTTTTGTCTGGTTTGTAAATATATTCTATTGTTACGTAGATTTTCCATTATTACGCACATCGCTAATTATACTAGCATATTAATTGTATGCGTGTATTTCAGCCAATCACGCTGCCGTAATGATTGGGGCATCGGGCTCTTTTCGCCACGTGAAATTGGTGGGATATTTGGTATCGATACATACAGCACAGCACTGTATATCTGTTTTGAACTATGATAGCAAACAAGTCTCCTATGAGATCGCGCTGGGTTTTGGTTTATCTCGGAATAACAGCATTGTCATCTATATAGGCCTACGTGTATGTCGCCTATACACATTCGATATTTGACTACGTTAAGGGCCTATCTCACTGAGCAGCGAATGCTTGCGAACGTTGCGAATTTGGATTCGCCAACTTTTCTGACGAATGTTGGCGAAAATCAGCGACATTAAGTGACGTTTAGCGACAATTAGCAACATTTGAGCGAATGTCTCCGAAAGTGTTTGCGAAAGGCAGTTGGCGACTATTAGCGACTGTAAACAAATTTTAGCGACAACTTTTGCGAAGATTAGCAGCTATTTGCCAATCCTTTGCCACTATTTGTGAACGTTTGAGACCTTTTGCTAACTACTGGTACTCAATGGGTCGATTTTATAAAGGAACCATATGGTAACGTGGTCGCTAGCTTTGGCGAAACACAGAAAACTGACGAAAACAAAGAGCAAAACCGTTTAACAACCGTTTGCAAAGGCTTACGACTGTTTTGCAAACGCTAACGACTGTTTTGCAAACGCCTGCAACTGTTTGCGGAAAAATAAATTCGCAAAGAAATTTTGAACATGTTCAAAATTTCCTTGCGACAAGAAAAACTGTTTAAAACAAAGAAAACTGTTTGCGATCTTTCTTGCAACCTTTTACAACATTTTACAAACTCTGGCGAAACCCCAAATTCGCTACGTTCGCAAGCATTCGCCGCTCAGTGAGATAGGCCCTGGAGTTGATGGATGTATGACATTGATATCAGATTGGAAGACAGTCATATTTATTCGCCAAGATACCGATGCAGCGGACCTGAACAGTTAAGAGAATGTATAATGAGAAGAGGTGATCACCTTCAGGGCAAGAATAATCACGCGTTTCAATTAAAGTTTGCAGGCGCCTTAAACCACTTTCAGCCGTTAAAGTCGGAGCAGATGATAATCGGCACGGTCTAGGCTATCTATTTATCTTCGTTCTATAACTTGGAGGCCGTTGGGGCGACAATAAAATGGACCTTGAAACACAGCTTCTCCATAACTTTTTGTCTTCGGCTGGACTACTTGGCTGATCAAATAGCCTATACTTCAGTTAAAATAGTTTAGATATTACAAGCATACACTCAGATAAGTTAAATTCTTATCATGGATGGGGACAAGTTTCAAGGAGCAGTCCTATCTGAGGCTGACAATGATGATTTGACATTTCTCTATACAGCAGCATCTACGGGTAATATCAAGATTGTACGGATTCTTATTGGCCAAGGAGCAGATCTAAATAGGGTTGGTCAAAATGGCAGCACACCTCTAGAAGCGGCATCACTCGAAGGTCATCTCGATGTTGTAAAGTTTCTCATTGGCAAAGGAGCAGATCTAAATAGGGCAGGTGAAGGTGGCAGGACACCTCTCTATGCGGCATCATCCAATGGTCACCTCGATGTTGTAAAGTTTTTAATTGGCCAAAAAGCCGATGTAAAAAAGGCTACCTTTTATGGCAGCACACCTCTCCACGCGGCATCATCCACTGGTCATCTCAAGATTGTACGGATTCTCATTGGCCGAGGAGCAGAAATGCATAGGGCTGGTAATGATGGTAGGACACCTCTCCACGCGGCATCATCAAATGGTCATCTCGATGTTGTAGAGCTTCTTATTGGCCAAGGAGCGAATCCAAATAGGGCTGATTTTAATGGCAGGACACCTCTAGAAGTGGCCTCACTCGGAGGTCATCTCGATGTTGTACAGTTTCTCATTGGCCAAGGAGCGGACTTAAATAGGGGCAATAAAAGTGGAAGTACACCTTTCCTCATGTCAGCATTCGAAACACCTCTACACGCACAGTTAATTGATAATGGTAAGTTAAGTTGATATTTCGTACGTACTGGCTTATGTATTGTGCAGGGGCGGCGATTTCTTGTGATGACTGGGGGGGGGGGGGGGGGGTTATTTACTTGTACATTTTGTAAGGATATTATGCGAGGGAGCGTAGCGAATGAGCGAGAAGATTTTCGCATTTGTATTCATGTAATCGCTGCACTCTTGAGCCCTCCAGGGCCTAAAAGTGTGTTTGCTATATATTGGTTTCTGTGCACGTTTTCAAATCCCCCCCCGGGGGGGGGGGGGGGGGGGGGGGGGTGGGGACGATCCCCCTAAAATTATTAAGGGAGGAAACAAGTCCCCCCACCCCCCCCCCCCCCCCCCCCCCCCCCCCCGCGATCGCCGCGCCTGGTACTGTACATTTATCTGACATTTCCCATTTATTATTTATTATTATCATTATTCATTTAGGACAATATTTAAATCAGATGTTGATATTGGAGATTCAAGGGAGATGACTACTAAGTCACTGATAAATTAAGGTTATTCCATTGAACTGGCGTAGTCTACTACTAACCTTGGTTGTTCAAGGGATAGTTCAGTTTTGTTGCAGAGGGCACTATTCAAAATAATTTTGTTGTGAGATAATAAAAAACCGAGTGTCAAATTTGAAAGTATATACAATTTAAATGACTGAATCATCTTCGTTTGATCAAAATCGGTTTAGAGACGGCTGAAATGTTCATAAATATAACAACTCTAATATTTGTGGTGCCTCACAAGTATTTGGTAATTTTGTTACAGCTAGCCGTTGTAAAACAAGATATCACCTTATACGTTTTATTCCAGCCAACAATATCGGCTTTTTGTTGGCATTTTCGTGTTGGTTATAATACGCAGAACCAGCCGGCCCGTCTATTGTTATTATTAATTAATTAAATAATTAATTAACAGTCACCATATTTTTGGGGAAAGTGGGGCTGAATTGGTATGATCGTATTCAATCTAAGTTCACACAATTCGGGGTCTAACATTCCTTCTATAGCAATTTTAGGTTCTAAAAGGGCACTAGGAATGTGATAAATAAGAATATAAGAGCAATAACCATACACTTTGAAGGTATTTGCGGTCTTAAACAAAAACTCAACTCTCCTTTTAAAAGAACATCATAGGGCTACATAGACCGCGATAAGGGCCGCTCGATATCCACATTCGCTGTTTTCGAAGAATTTGCTCGGTTTTCCAAATTTGTGTTTTTGGAATGAGCCTCCAAAGTTTGATTTGTTAATGTTAGAAAATAGCCGAGCCAACTGTCTGTGTTTTATTTGGACATGAATAAGCTCGACTCCGATAGTTACCATCATAGGCCCTCTATGCAAATGCACATTCACAGGCGGCATACCCGGGGAGGGGGACTCTTTCAAGTACCCCTAAAGTGCCCCTTTTTACATAGGAAATGAGCCCCCATTTATTTTACATAAGTGCCCCTATCTATTGCTTAAAGTTGCCCATTTCACATTGTTATTAGTACCCCCTTCTCCAATAATTGCCGAACTTAAAATCTGAAAGGTTCCCTTTTACTTCAACAAGTGCCCTTTTTGTTTCTAACAAATGCACCTTCTCCTTCTGAAAAGTGCCCTTTTTTTATCTGATGAGTGCCTTTTTCTACCTCTGATAAGTGCCCTTTTATATCGAAAATTGACCCCTTCATCTTTCCAATAAGTGCCATTTTTTCTTCTGATAAATGCCAAATTTTCTTTTTTAATGAGAGCCCCTACCTCTTTTTATCAATACCCTTGATCACATCTTTGATAAACGCCTCTATTAAAATCTGATAGGTGTCCCTTTTCTTCGACAATTTCCCATTTTCCTTTGTCAAAAGTGCCCCTATTCATCTCAGGTGAGTGCCCCTTTTAAAGTACAAGAAGTGCCTCTTACCATCCCTGATAAATGTCTCTTTTTAAATCTGACAGGTATCCCTTATATTTTGACAAGTGTTTCTTTTCCTTTGTGTTCCCTCTTTTCATCACACCAACTGCAAAATATATATCCTAGATCATGTAGAAAAAGAAAAATATATTGGAATCATCCTTGATAATGTAATCAAAAAGTAGGGGTATATACCGCTTTCTAAAAATTATGTATTGTCGCTGTGAGAGTCCTCTTTGTAGGTGGCCCTGTTTTTCTGTTTTTCTGGTGTAACTCATATAATGCATATTTCACGCATGAGCGATTAAGATGAATATGAAGAGAGGAAACCAAAAAGGCATTTGGCGGACGGTATCTTAATTTCAAAGAGAAAATCACATTTCCAGAAAGTTGAGTTTCTGCCCTCTCAAATGACACCTCAATCACGAAAAACGAGCAAGGAATAACAAAGTTCTGTATGTTTAAAGTAGTCCTTGCATATCCATAATTTTATCAAACGAATTCATTTTCACTGGCTGCCTGCCTTAGCAACAAACGGAATTTAGAAAAGACTTAACTCCGTTTCGTTGACAATCGGCCGTAGACGAAAGACTTCCTGCATGGCTGATTGTCAACGAAATGAAGTTAAGTCTTTTGACAATTCTGTTTTTTTGAGTTGCATCAAATGAAAGAGGAGGATTTCTGGGACGCACTGTATAACACCTCATTTTTTCCCCATTTTTTTAGATCTAGTCGTTGGTTCAAAAAAGGAAAGCGGGAGTGTCGAAAAACAGGTGGATAGCGAAGCAAACGTAGAGACCTCAAAAAGAGAACAGCAAAACATAGACTCTGCATCTTCTGAACAGGTCGTACAAGATGTTGTTCGTGAATCCATGGGGGCATCCCATCAGCAATCAGGCTTGATTCGCATCGAAAAGTATGGCATTAAAGTCCAGTTTCATCCAAGTGAGAATTGGGGCGTTGAAGACATCCATGCAGTACCTGAAGTCCCAGCTGAACTGGTAGACCTGTTAACAGAGGATCAAGCAATAATTTGTGTTGGTCTTAAGGCGTCACCGTCTGATGCGAAGTTGAAATATCCAGTAAAAGTGACGATGCCCCATTCAGCAATTTTCTCAAGTCCCGGTACTGCATCTATTGGGACGTACCATCGAAAAAGCAGTAAGAATGTTTACAGTTAACTACTAATTTACTAAATGATTCATACTCTTACCAATATTTGTAATTTCTGAAGTATGCGAACAATTAACTTGTGATAATTTGTGTTTCTTGAGCACGGGACATATTGAAACTTACTTCTAAAAGTGTTCAAATAAGCCTTAATTCAACCAGACAAATTTCTTTCTTGAGTTAGGAAAACAAAAACCACAAAAAACATTAACCCTAAAAAGGCCGGGCTATTTGAGGTCTTAGTACGGCCGGGGGGCCATTATCGGCCGCTAAACGGCCGATCGCCGCGAAAATTTGCACGCATGTCTAGTGAAGTGTATAGAATAATATGATAATTTCAATTTTTGAAAAATTTACTCATTTGCATATTTATGGTAATTTATGCAAATAGAGTCATACAAATCACATTTTACCCATAAATCATATATTAATCATATTTAAGCATTCTTTTTCGCTACACATATTTATTAGACCATTCTGAATAATAATAATACAAACAAAAAATTGGAAGAGCCGGCTTATTCCTTATGTTATCCCTTGTTTTGGAAATTTCTTATGTATTTCATTGTTTTTTAAGTTATGTATTTCATTGTTTTTGTTGTTTTATTTAATTTCTTACTACAATTCAACTATTTTGACTCCCATAACAACCACCTAAACTTTAAACAAGACCCAATAACCCATGTTTGATCTGTTTTTAGGAAAAATGACTTTTCCATATGTTTTGTACACAAATCACGAAAATGAGCGATTTTCGGGCTGACATACAAAGACAAAACGTCACGTGACCTTGTAACCGTAGGTCTGATTTTCAAAAAAATTCTTTTAAAAGTTGCGCAAGACTCGAATGAAAAAAGTCAGCGAGCGGCGGGGCGCCATCCATATGCGTTCCCGAGCAATCAAATAAATCGTGGAGGGGGGGGGGGCATAATGGCCCCCGGCCTTATTAGGGCTAAAATAACAAGGGGCACGAATAATTTTGTTGTTAAATGCATGTCTTTGTTAAGACGCATAAGATAAAGAATGTTATCAGCATTCTATCACCTGGTTCTAGGACAATTACCTCCTGGGCAATCACCACCCCCCGAAAAATCACCCCCCGGAAAACTACCCCCTGAGGACAATTACCCCTCGAATATTATTCCCGGGAGAATCACCCCCGAGGACAACTACCCCTCCCCAAGGACAATTACCCCCCCCCCCGGAAAATTACCCTCCGGAGAATCCCCCCCCCCCGAGGACAACTATCCCCTAGGACAATTACCCCCCGAGGACAATTACCAACTAGGACAATTACCTCCCTGAGTATTACCCCCCCCCCCGAGGACAACTACCCCCGAGGACAATTACCCCCTAGGACAATTACCCCCGACGATAATTACCCCCGATGACAACTACCCCCGATGACAATTACCCCAGAGGACAATTACCCCAGAGGACAATTACCCCCCGAGGACAACTACCCCCGGATGATAATTACCCCCCGAGGACAACCCCTCCCCCGATGACAATTACCCCCAAAGGACAACTACCCCCGTGGACAATCAGGATTGAATAGCAAAAGACGATCTGACACATTGAGAGATGGTTACGAGCCCATAAGATCCACTGCATGAACCCATATTCGTTCAAATACTATAGCACGTTGTCTTCCTCATTACTACACATTTCCCTTGTATTATAATTTATGCAACGCCAGTGCGGTTGCTGATTTCCACGAAGGATGTAAGTTTTAGGTTATTGTCCAGCGCTTTTCAAAATGCATAGAAATGCATTTCTCTGGAGCAGTGTTATTTTAACTTTTTGTTAGTCACGGTACCATCTTAAGAAATGAAAAGTTTCTCCCAAATCCCAAAGTCTTGACAGACTATTAATTTTGCATTACTCTGGCACTCGTTAAGTGCTATGGACACACGTATGGGTAAATTTCAGAATAAAAAGGAGAAGACATTTTCAAACTGGTAAAAAACTTGTAATCCACACACTAGAAACGATTTAAAGTACTGTATGCGGGAACCTTGCCGCCGAATATACATGAATAAAAAGTGATATATTCGGTCTTAATCTTGATACACGAATATGAGGATATTCTGGCCTTTCGTTGCCCTTATTTGCATTGCTGTCAAAATATTGTTAGCGAGCGAGGAAGGAAGACACTTTAGTATCTTCAAAATATTATTTTTTCATGTTATTACATATTTTAACCGTTTCTGATATTTCTTTGTCCGTTTGTTTGTTTTTATTTCTGCATTTTCAAAATAGAACATAATTATATACATAAAGTAACAAATATTTCTTCATTTTACATAACTATACATTTTTAAGTACATTAAATAAGATGCATACAAACACAAATATAATTTCAATGAAAAACGATAAACTACAGAAAATGCAGGAGACAGCCATCATGAGCATTTGATTTGTTTTACAAAATCAACGTTTTCCAAATCATTCTCTTGCGGCACCCCGGTTGAAAAACGCTGTGCTGGAGTTACAAAATCAAATGAGATGAATTACCAGAGAGCAAGAAAACATATTATACTTCAGCATGACATACACATGTAATAGAAAAAATTGCTCGAAGTAGCTTTTGAATGCTCTAAAAGCCGGAAAATTATAATTCGAAGAAAATCAGTTATCCAAGTGATAATTAATAAAGAAAGGGACTGAGATACAGTGTTATTGCAGACGCAACCCTGAACTGGTAGCGAATCAAGTAAGGCTATACGACTGTACATTTATAGTTCATCACTTGTATGTCTAGCCAGCCGGCCAAATAATGGCGGCTAGGGGTGGGAAGGTGGTAAAAAGTTTGTTCACGAATCTGACCATCTCTCATGAAGACCATAGAAAGAATGAAGCGAGCCGAGAGCACGCGGTGTATGGCGCGAACCTTTCTGGTTTTATTGCTGACGCCAATACTTCTGCGACCCCCTCCCTTGACCTCGAGGCGTGTGGTCTCGGGTCGGTTCGCACTTCTCCGTCCAGATTGGGAATAACCTTTTTTAGCTTCTTGTACAGTTCACTAAAATGTATTATTCCCACTCTGAGACAAATGAAGAAGTCAACAATTTTGTATTTGTATGTGCGATTGACCATGGTCTTTATTGAGAGCTGATTAGCATAAATTAACTCTTTTTTAATCAAACTGGTCAGCAAAGTAAATATAATTAAAACAAAACAAACAACAATGAATGTAACTCATTACTTCGAGCAAATTATGTCGAGAGCGATCTGTAAGGAACCAATAGGGGGCCCGGCCGGGCGACAAAGTAATATCAATTGACTAGCCGTAACAATTCTTCCATTCGCCTGGCCATGCGAACGGGCTTCCCCCATCTCTTGCGGCTTTTTGCACAGACAAGCATGGGTGAGCGAAGATGACTTCCCGCCGGAAACCCTGAGCGTTACACACGGCATAAGCCAGGCAATCTCAGCTTCAACGGACAGGGTCCCGCTCACCCCCCCCCCCCCCCCCCCCCCCCATTCCCCAACCGAAAACGTGATGAGCCCAAACGACTTCCCGCTTAAGAACCTGGGCAATACTGATTGTATCTCCAGCTTACGGACAAGTCAGGCTCGTAAAATTGTATAAATACGGCAATAAAAACAGTCCTCTAAAAACACCAAATTTTGTCTCCCCTTCCTAACAGACCGCTTGCTCTAGTTTTACATTACCACAACGAATATATTTCTTATATAAGCGATTATAGGCGTCCAAATTCGCAAGAATGCCGCCAAACGAGATGTGACGCAACTCGCCGCCATATATATCGCATTTCAAAGCACCTACAACATGCTTCCACGAATGTAAACTATCCTCGTAACATTTAAGTAGGGTAATCGTGCTGATTCAACTGTTGAACGCAAGTTAAGCCATTATTAACCAATTACTATATCATGCACTATCATCCATGTACGGAAGTTAATACCTCAAAGACGGAAGACGAAGAAGCAATAGAGAACATAATTATGTTGGCATAAATATCATCTCCTAGTCAAGAAGATACAGTAACTCTACTATTGATACCTAATCATTACTACTGTACACGAGAAGAACAATACTGATTTACCATAGCCCCACTTAAACTTTATAACTCGATGTTAAGATCGACATAAAATCCAAAGCTAAAAATCACTAACGAAGCTATAACACTGGACGGGGAAGCGGGACATGGCGATTTAATGTTAGCCTTACAAAGCTATGGAGAAAGAATTAAATGTGACCAAGAGTGTTGGTCGAGGGAGAGTGTTATTCGAGGGAGAATGTCCGAAAATCGTACTCGCTTTATCCGCTACCGTGGACATTGGGTAGAGGGTCTGTTCCCACTCGTGGTATAACTGCCGTGGGTGAGTCCACTGCATGGAGAGAGTTGCTGACGTAATCCCGCGCTTCCTACTCCACGTGGTTCGAACTGGGAGGCCGAGGTTTCTTTCCCGCCGTCCTTTAGCCAGAAGATCTGCCCAGTGCACCATTGAGTCTCCAACTAACCATACCCGAGGCTCGTTACGCAATCCAGTGGTGTGTGTGAGTGACGAGGCTGCAAAAGGGGAAGAAAACGAAAAACAAACAGCCAGCATTTCGGGTTCCAACACACTGAGATTCATTAAATTTCCCAAGCTTATTAAATAACAGGCAAATCCCTGCTCCCTGTCACAACTAAACTATTTGAATAAGTAAGAATAGGGAAAAAGCTGTTGGGGGGGGGGTGGGTGAGGTCACTTGAACACATCAATTGCCAGCCTACCAGCTAACTGTTTGCTGAAAATGAGATGATACCATCAAAACCCCTTAGTTCCTGATGACTAATAAGGTCGTAAGTAAAAAGGAACTGCCTTGTTAAACATAGTTGGCACATTAACCCGCGCCCATTAAAACGTGGGTCGATCCTTATATAGCGGCGAAATGACTGAGAGGTCCACCGACCCATCTGTTGAATCTGCTCACCAGAATATCCCCTCATAGCCGCAGAGGTAGCCGCCCCTATTCTGAAGGAATGGGCTGTATAACATTGTAAGGGAAGCTCTAAAAGAGATACACAACGCCGCAAAATACGAGTAAATCCATGCCTAGTCAGCGGAGATGTATCAAAATGTCTAAAGAACGCAGTGCCTTGTGCTGACCGAATGCGTGTGTATGCTGCCACTGCAACTACAGGGCACATGTGGGAACCACTCTCCGGTATTGTTATCGCACAGCCCGCACCCAGCTGATCTGTTTCGGAGAAGCGAACTTTAATTGCAAGCCGGCGGTGAGGGGATTCCCCTCGCATCGCTACGTCACCGCTAACTAGGGGGATTACCCCATTCTTGGCCGTAAACTCACCAACGCGTAGAAAACCAAAAAATGCCACTAGAAACGCCGCAGCAAACAATTTGCAATCGTAAGAATTTGAACACACAGTAGGCAACACAGAGACCAAACGCTGCAATATGGGTAATGTAATGGGGCACCTAACATCCTTCCGCAAATGCCGCCGCCTACACCCGTCAACTAAGCGCTTTATCGGAAACACCTGCGTAATATCCTCCAATCCCTTACTGCGCAAGAAAAAAGACAGACCCGAAATATAGGTGGCAATTGTGTTAGCAGAATATTCGTGCCAGGACATATACGAAATAAACAAAGCGATTTGCTCAGTGTTGGGAATTTTCAAAATATCAAAATGGTAGTCACCCCGAAAAGTCTGAAAGGCAGACCAAGCCATGTCATAGGTGCGCAACGTATTCCGAGCTCTAGAGGAGCTTAACAGGACTTGTCGCTCGTTATGAAGCTGCTCCACAGATGGGGAGGAAGGGGGGATTCGTCGAGATCGGCGTCGGGGGCCAGACATCGAAACCTCTTCATCTGAAAGCGAGACAGAGAGTCAGCAATTTCGTTATTAACGCCCGGCACATATTTTGCCTTAAACCAGATGTTCCACTTAAGGCATAACACTACTAAGCGACGAACGAGCCCCATGATATGCTCACAAGTAGAGGTTTGCTTGTTAATGACTGCAACCACCGTCTGGTTATCCGACCAAAAGACCACCTTCCTTCCAGCAATTTTCTTACCCCACATGGACACACCTACTACAATAGGAAATAATTCCAGAAAACCAATGGAATAGCGCGCAGTAAGTATCTCCTCCGGCCATAGTGCATGGGCCCATCTCTTATCGAAATATATTCCAAAGCCTATGCTCGCCGCTGCATCCGAGTAAAAATGAAAGAAATCATTGTCCTTCCAGTTGTTGTCACCGAAGCTAACTATGCCATTGAAATGCAACAAAAACTCCTTCCACGCCAAAAGGTCAGCCTTAGCGCCCTTCGAAATACGAATTCGATGATGAGCCCTCGTCACACCTCTCGTCAAGTCAATCAACCTACGGAGAAATGCCCTCCCAGGGCCAATCGCCTTACAAACAAAATTCAGGCTACCAATAAGGGACTGCATCTGCCTTAATGTCACCTTGGACTTGGACGTGTACTCCTCCAGCATGCCCAGTAGGGCCTCGACTTTCTCCCCAGGGACCCTGACTTGTAATTTGGCTGAGTCAATCTCTAGACCTAAGTAAGTGATAACCTGAACGGGGCCCTCTGTCTTCTCGCTGGCAATTGGGACACCAAATCGCTCACACATAGCCTTAAAACACCGCATGAGGTGAGTACACTCGTCAGCAGACTTACCCGCAAAAAAGAAATCATCGAGATAATGGAGGATGCACTCTGAGGACGCAATGCGCCTACAGCATGCCTGTAAGAAGGAACTGAATCTCTCAAATACTGCACAGGACACCGAACAACCCATCGGCATACAACGGTCAAAATAGAATTGTCTATCAATGCACATACCGAGGAGATCAAAATCGGCTGGATTCACCGGCAACAATCGAAAAGCCGATTTAATATCAGATTTCCCCATGAAGGCGTTCCGTCCGAGGGCGGCAATGAGGTTTGACAGATTCATCAAAATCAGAGTACACGACCGCACATTCCTCTGGATCGATATTGTCATTAACAGGTGAGCCTTTTGGGGAAGACAAATGATGGATAAGACGAAATTCATTAGCCGTGCGTTTGGGAACCAACCCAACGGGGGAGCAGCGAAAATTATCAAAGGGGGGCGAAGGAAAGGGACCCACAATCCTGCCTATAGCTGTACCTCTTTCCTAATCTTACTTCGAATGATAAGGGGTTTATCATAGGCTGACTTCAAATTTCTGGCCGACATGGGCACTCGCTCCCCAGTAAAACCAAGAGAAAAACCATTTGTAAAACCGTCTATTAATTTCCGCCCTTCTATCTGAGGTTCATACGAGAGAAGGAAAGGTAGCATACATTGTAACTTAATTGGAGTTGGAGCTAATATTCTACTTGCTTGGGGTTGCTGATGCTTTAATGCAGGCAAGCTCTCCGTGGGAGGCATTATTGCACCGAGAACAGTTGTGCCGGTACTGGCAACTTTGCCCTTTGTGACATTTTCCCGCATTGAACGCGAAGCAGAAGCCGGGTCGACGACGGCTGGCGGCCGCTCCTGCCTCCGGCGCTGGGTGGAGCTCCACCCTCCCCGAAAGGAGTGTTGTCGCTGCCTACCCCCCTGTGGTGTCCCTGCAGGGCTGGCATACGGCCCAGCCCCATAAGCGCGAAAGGACCGAGCCGTTGCCACTAGAAACCACAACTCCGTGTCCACAGTTGCCCACGAAGATTCAGGCCGAGTAGCGTGGCGCAAACGAAACTGTATATCGTAATCGCGCCAGTTATAGTTTGACGCCGCTGCAGTTCTCACTATGCTCATATATTTGAGCAGCTCGCGAGACCTAGACATATGTCGCTCGGTAAATAGGGAAACAAATACAAGCATAGCGCTTGTCCACTGCTCGATAGAGCGAATAACCAGCGGACGGGATTGGGGGCGGAGCTGAAAACCCCCGTTAGCCTGATCCAAAGCGAGGGTTAAATCTGAAGAAGTAGAGGAACCCTCTTTAAGCAAATGCCCAAGTTCAATGTATTCCCCTTTCCAAATCCGCTCGCGCATAGCGTGTTGGACGGTCAAACCCAATTCCTCGCAAATGCCACGACGCATGCTCGGAAGGCCCGGTTGCGTCAATTGGGGTGAAAAATTGGTGCCAGTAATAGTAGGATGAGCATCAATTAATTGAGGTGCGGTCAAAGCACTGTTCGACCCAACCCCGCTCTCTTCATGCCTCCTACTTCCCGCATCGTGCAAAAATAAAGGCCACGACTCACCCGATTGACTAGTAGTATATCCGTTATCACCCGGCGGCTGGACATCATCGCCTGCGCCGATCACATTGGGGATGGGCCTATCAGTCAACTCTGTCGTCCCTGAAGAAGAGGCCGTTGTCGTGGCTGATGTTGAGGTCGTCGTGGCGGAAATTCTGCCGGCAGCTGATGAAGACGCTGACGATGGCTGTCTTTTCTTCCGACCCGCCGCTTTCGCTGACTGCGGCGGAGCTGTATTCGCCGCCACTACGATGCCGGCACTCCGGCCATGCAAGACGGTCTACTGATACTGACGATTTCCTTCCACGCCCCCGCCCCGATGACCGCTGCTGGGCTTTCGCTTTCGGCATCTTGACTATATTACTGATGACAAAATCTAGTTATTTACTCCTCTAATGCTGGGATAAGAGTCTATGTAGAGTGAAGGAGTGTTAATCAACCACAAAATGAAGGAAAGCGAAATGCGAATAAGAAATGGAAATAATACAGATTATTCCAAAGTTTGATCACGAAGTTATATAAAAAGTTTGTTCACGAATCTGACCATCTCTCATGAAGACCATAGAAAGAATGAAGCGAGCCGAGAGCACGCGGTGTATGGCGCGAACCTTTCTGGTTTTATTGCTGACGCCAATACTTCTGCGACCCCCTCCCTTGACCTCGAGGCGTGTGGTCTCGGGTCGGTTCGCACTTCTCCGTCCAGATTGGGAATAACCTTTTTTTAGCTTCTTGTACAGTTCACTAAAATGTATTATACTTCAGCATGACAACAGAGATAAATCGATAACGTGAAGAAAACCTTGATTTTGGATCATTCATACAAAGACAAATACACGATCAGCTGATTAAAAGAGTTACAGAGGATGCATAAAGGAAATCTTACATCCTAATATCTTTGTGCATTGTTGGTGAGAAAGGCTGTAACGTGTACTCATCTGCGCGCAGTGTATTGTTCAATTTCTAAGAAATGTATTTTTTTTTACTCGGTAGCAAAAATACGGGAGAATTGGGCAACCTCCACCCCCCCCCCCAATATCGAATTGAATAATTTGAAAAGACTGAAATGAACTTCATAAATAACAAAGAAAATGAAGGTCTATGACATTTTCTGTAAATAGCAATTTGGAGAGAAGCTTGCGTTATACGTCACATTGTTATAAATTCCTCGGGGGTGATTGTCATCGGGGGGCAGTTGTCCTCCGGGGGTTATTGTCCGGGAGGGGGGGGGAGTTGTCCTCGGAGGGAGGAGGGGTAGTTGTCCTCGGGGGGTAATTGTCCTTGGGGGTAGTTGTCCTTAGGGCGTAATTGTCTTCGGGGGGTAATTGCCCTCAGGGGTAGTTATCCTAGGGGGGTAATTGTCCTCGGGGGGTAATTCTCCGGGGGGTAATTGTCCTCGAGGGGTAATTCTCCGGGGGGTAATCGTCCTACGGGGGTAGTTTTCCGTGGGGAGTTTTCCGGGGGTGATTGCCCAGGGGGTAATTGTCCTGATACGCAATCATCTATCGCAACATGGAGTGATGCATTTAAGCGTGCTTCATTGGCATTAACATAATCCACTTTTTAAAATGCATTGTAATCGGGTCAATTAATTTAGGGTTTGACTCCAAATGCAACAACAAAGTTTTGTTTGTTTGAATGGATTCTCCAACCTTCTAAACCTACACTAAAATCACATCTCGAAGATGATTTTATCATTATTTATAGGCAGTCATCTGTGACGCCATTTTGAAAATGACCGCTTTTCCGGGATCTGATTTTCTAGAAATGTTGATATGTTGTTTCTTATGTCAAACACTACCGGAAAACGTTGAAAAAAAATCTTTGTTGCTATTTATGTTGTTGACCTGATTATAAAGCGATACATAGTTTTGTTTGTTAGTTTATTATATACGGGGTTTATACTAAAAAAGAGCGCAAGACCTGCAGTCTGCAATTTCGACAAGTTGACACAATTTCATTTGTTTTTGTCAATTGGATAAAATCATTCTTTTCCTTGCAAAATTACACCAATCCAATTTCGATGTAAAGGGTTCTTGTTTGTGTGAAAAACCCATCTTGACTCCAA